GGGGAGGGGGGGCTTCATCCTCCCACTCATCCTCATAAGAGAGAGTGTCTGCTGAATTCTGCTTAACACCATAGGTTCAAATGCAACCTTCCCCTGAATGGTGACCTCAGATTCTGAAAAGTACAAGAAAGCCACTAAAACAGGCATCATTAAAAATCTGCCACTGACCATTCACATACTTTATCAAGCATCTACTAGGTGTCAAGGGCTGGGGGCTACAGTAGTGGAAACAGGTAGACAGGATGATGTGGCTGAGGGGTGCAGAAAAAGGTACTCCTTTAAAAGGGGTGACATCGAGCAGAGCCTTGAGGAAAGAAAGGACGTTGGTGGGTGAGAGGTATAGAGAGCAGGCCAACTTGGCTGCCTCATGGGTCTGTTGTGAGCTGTGCACATCCAACCCTTGTAAATCAAGGGGCCCCAAACAGCTTGGGGAGACTGGCTCACCAGATCCCTCGGTGCTGGGGGAAACCCAGGGGCTGGGGGCAGATCCTCAGGAAGCAGTATTCAGGATGCATGTCGGGGCAGGCAGCCAGGGAGAGACACAGAGGAGGGAGACGGGCGGGGGAGAGGGCTGGGGAGGATGGAGAAGTCACTGGAGAGGCCACTACACTGGGCCCATGGGACCAGCAGCACAGCATTTTGTGTCCATTTTCTGGCACTGAGGTTTTCCCATGAACACTTAAGTCCATGCTGGTCCCATCACTTGGCCTCTGGGACCAGCAGCACAGCAGGATGATGTCTCAGTATCTTCCTGGTTTTCTCAATTCTGTTCTGACTCTGGAGGGTGGGGGCAAGTCCGTGATGTGTGTTCTTGGATACCGTAGCTTGAGACAAGTCAGCAAGGAGAGCAGGATCTCTGCTCTTCCAGAGTACCGGGGCCACACGCCAGGCTTTCTACCTGGAGGCAGAACCCCAGGGGCCTGTGGCAGCCCATCTCTAGCTCCAGAACTCAGAGTTCATTTCCTGGCTCTTCTGGCATCGGCTCGCCCCTACAGGGCCACCAGGGTTACTTTGGACTATGGTCTGGGCTGAAGGTTGGGAAAGTAGCACTGGTGGGTTGGGGTCTAGCTCTGTCTATAGCTCACTGAGTGATGACCTTGGGCCAGTTGCTCCCCTCTCTGGGCTGCACTCTCCCCCTTGGACTAGACCGATGGTTACCCAAGTGCTAGCATATTTCACAGAGTAACAGTGTTACCCAAGAACAGCTGTGGCTAAGGAATTTGGGGAAATCCTAAATGAAGGGAGTCTCCTTGCCGCAGGATTATAGAGAGCCTTTTCTGCACTTCTTAAATCCCCCGGAGGGGACTGTAGCATGCAGTATTTGCCAAACTGACCCGACCAGGGCACCCCATTGTACAGAGCTTCTCACCATTGGTATTCTGAAGGGCCCGTCTCAGGATGTGCTAGCCGAGACGTCTCCAGGGGTGTTCCTAGCTCTAAGATTAAAAAAACGAAACCACCAGATGTCCAGTGATCCTTGCCTCCTGGTATATCCTGTGTAAATCCCCGGTGTATGCTGGACTTACTGATGCACTTCTATCTAAATAGAGTATTGCAGAAATGACAGGATGTCACTTCTGAGATTAACTTATTAAAAAGCTGTGGCTTCCATACTGGGTGCTTCTTTTCTCCCTCCCTCCCTCTCTCTCTCAATCTCTCTCCCTCCCTTCCTCCCTCTGGCTCACTCCCTCCATGTCTTTACCACCTGCTCTAACATGAGGACACCTAGGCAGCCTATGGCCAGCAGCCCTGTCAGTGAGCCTGGAAGCAGACGCTCCAGTATGTCAAACCCTGAGGTGACTGCAGCCCTGGCCAACAGCTTGAGAGACCCCGGGCCAAAGGCACCCGTTCAGCTGTACCCAGCTCTCCCTTCCGGCCTGGCCCCTTGGCTCCCAGTGGGGCCTCTCCCAGGAATCCTTAGCCTGTCCTCCGCTATCCTCACCCTGCATGCTCTGGGCAGCCAACTCTACCCAGTACTCGCTACCTCATCTACATTTGGCCCCCCATTTCAACACCTCCCTCATCTTCATTTTTCTCCCGTAATTATATTCAATGGCCACTCAGAAGCCCCAAACCGATCTTTCCCATGCCTGTCCCAACGATGATATGCTCATTCAGAATGGGGCAGGGCAAGTGTTGTTGGTTAGGCATGTAGACAGAACCCCTGCTATGCTGCCTGGCATACTCTAGCAGGGCGCCCCGGCCTCAGCTGGCCAACGCCCTGATTGAAGGTATGTCTGCAGGGCCGCTCACCAGTTTGGAGAAGCGTCCAAGATCTCAGTCACAACTCCCAATATATCCCCACCCTGAGGGGCTTGGGGAGGGGCAGAGCAGCAGTCAGTCAGGACGAGAACAGAGGCCAGAGACTGGGACCCTACCCGAGAAGCCAGTTCTGGCTCTGTCAGCTCCCTGTGGGACCTGGGGCAGGTCTGAGGCTGCCGGGTAAGGTAGGATTTCCAAACACTTCCTTTTTTCAGAAATAGAATTCTTATCAAATGTAACACTAGAAGAGCCCAATAGCTAGCAAATAAGGGGAGCTGCTGATTGGGGGTGGAAGGTACAGGGAGGCTGGAGTCCTGCCCGCAGGGCTCCCCACTCTATTGCCTCCTGTGGGCCCCACTGTCCCCCTTATTTGATTCCACATCCCCCCGCCCCAGACCTTCCTCCTGCCCAAGGCTGTGTGCGCTCCATGCCCTCTTCAAGAACCGCCATCAAGCTCAGCTCTGAGGCCCTTCCATCTCCAGCAGTGCCTCCCTAAGCCCTGCACAAGCATCAGGAGGGAGGCAGAACTGAAAAGCAGTAAACAGGATTCTAGTCCCAGCTAAAACCTGGCATGGCAGGTCAAGGATTCGCATGTGCTCAAGCTGAGAATTTGGGAGGGAAACAAGAATTCACAAAGGCAGGCCAGGGGCTGCCATTGATTTTGCAGTGAGAATAATGTTTATTGAGAATGGCTCATTAAAAACAAAATATATATATATGTATATATATACACACACACATATATATGTAGAAAATCTCTGCAATGCAAAAGATCCCTTTTGTCCCTGTGCAGCTGGAGTGAATAAAACCAAGTGTCCAGTGTGGCTTCGCTGGGCCCCCAGCATGTGGACAGGGGTCATGGGTGCCATGTGCTATGGGCAGAAGTTCCTGAAGTCTGGGCTTTCACCAGCCTTGTGTTCAGGACGTGTGCAAGAAAGCCTTTACATTTGCGTTCCACCCCCATGACCCCCGCAGGCAGATGGCACCGTCTCAGGCACAGGTAGCTTTCTTGTTAATCTTCCAGATGGGTGACCTCCAACTTGCGGCTTGCCCAGGGACTGAGTGTTTCTACATGCCGTGTGATGGACTGAGGCGCTGTGACCGCTCTGTGGAGGCTGCCCCCTGTCGTCCAAAGCTTCACTTCTCATTGCTTTCCTTTTTCCTTGATGCGTCTATTCTCACCACAGTTTGAGCCAGATCCTTCCTGAGGGTGCCCAAACCCCACAGCTGCCACACGTGGTATTCTTGGGTGTGAAACTGGAGCTCCCTGGGGATCTTGGGCCACCCAACATTAAGGCAAAAGAGAGAAGACCAGTCTGAAGACACCGCTAGTCCCCGAAACCAGGGTGGCTAACCTGGCAGCTAACCAGCTAACAGCGCCTCCCTCTGGGCCGAAGGCTGCAGCTGGTGTTGAGGAGCAATACGGCTGGATTGTCTGACAGCCCTCGTAAGCAGAGCCCACCTCTGCCCCTCAGAGCAGCCATGGTGGGGAGGTGTCAGCCGGCTGGTGGGAACAGACGCTGGGCATGGTTTGCAGTCCAGAGGGTAGCAGCTACCACCGTGACATGCCTTGGGCAACAGACCAAGACACAGGGGTACAGGGGCAGTGTGGCTGCTGGGACAGCCCTGCTCCTTTGCCAGGGACAGGTCATGAGGGGTGGGTGTCCTTGGCCCCTTTGGGAATGATCCAGTTCCCTTAGCTTTTAGGTGCAGACCTAGGTTCGAGACCCAACCCCACCACTGTCCTGGACAAACTGCCCCCAGACTGATGGCCAGTTTTTGTCTGTAAGGTGAGGGGCCCTGGCTCTCAGTCCGCCAGCCCTGAGTCCCTTTCTCTTTGGAAGAGAACTTGGGCTGGCTTATCTGCTCTGTGAAGAGAGGTGTCAGTGGTTCCAAAGTACCTGCAATCTCACTATTATTGTCTTACTTGAGGGTGACTCTCACTCCCCACAAGTGAAAAACTTAAATCGCAAAAAAAACAAAACAAAAAAACAAACAACCCCCTACCCCCACCAAGAAAGAAAAAAAAAGAAAGAAGGAAACAGCTCTAGTCCATACTACGTGCAGTGCTGTGTGACCCTGGGCAGGTACCACCCTTCTCTGTTAGGACAGAAGAGACCCAATATTCTGTGCAAAAGGTCCTGGCATGAGGATTAGGGTGGGTAGGAGGCCACAGGCTGTCTCCCACCATTGCCTCAGGAGTGCAGGCCCCAGCACCCCAGCACCCAGGCCTCTGAGGCCTGGGGCTCCCCACACCCAGAGAATGGGCCCCACTGTTGGGGCTTAGGCTAGTGTTAGGAAGGCTCACGGGTTGGGGGGACCTGTGGGACCCAGGTGGCCGCGCCTGGCCCTCCAGGTCAGGCATTCTTGGAGTACACTCAGCACTGCTAGCTAGCAAGAGCCTGTCGACTCCTAAGGGCCCTCCAAACTACAGTGCTATAGTACCTGCAGGCTGGGGGGGCAGGGCTCAGCGTCCTTTAGGCCTGAGGCCCAGCCCTCCCCAGGGCCCAGAGGCCTTGCAACCAGCCACAGGAACTTGGGTCCACTGGGAGGTGGGAGGGAGTGGCGGCATCCACCAAAGGGCACAGGGAGGTCTATAGCACTTCTGGGGGGGGGGGGGGGGGGAGGGCAGTTCCCAGCAAGGCCTGGAGTAGTCTACAGCCCTGGGAGCCGGAGTTGGCTACATGGTCTCCAAACACATGGACACCATCCTGACGAGTGGCATCTCCAGGGCTCAACCCCCAGGTCTGTGGGGAGACGAGCTCAGGCTTCTCCCCTGCCCTGGGTCTGGTTCACAGGCAACAAGGGCACCCAGAGGGCTGGAAGTCCTCTGGGCACGGTTCAAGTCAGGCTTGGGGTCCTAGGGGAGGCTTTACTCAGATGCTCTGGGGATGCCTCCAGCAACCAGCAGGTGCGTAGGCTAAGTGGCATGACGACACGCATGACGCTGGCAGACAAAGCACGCATGCCTCAGGCTCTAAGAATTCCCTGGGGCTTTGTCACACGGGTCAAGGCTGCAGTTCCGCATCCAAGCCCCAGCAGCTCGGGGCCTGGGCCAAGGCCTCCTGAGTTGGCCCGGCTAGGGTGGGGCAGGGTGTGAGGGCCTGGGCACACCAGGCTCCCGCTGTCAGCTGTCCAAGTAGACAAAGAGGATGTCCTCATCTGTGCCATAACTGGTTCTGGCTTCCTCGAAGTTACTGATGCTGGTGCTGCACATTCCTGCTGGGGGCAGGAAGGGCAGAGTGGGGTCAGAGGGTGGGGGAGTGTACTTGCCTCACTGACGCTCGGGGGAGCTGGGGGAGGGTCTGGCCATGTCCCACCTGCCGGGCCACCCTCTGCCACTCGTCTTCCACCCACAGGAAGCTTTCCTTGCCTACTTCAGCCTTCAGGAACTCATTCTCTGAGCGCCCCCGCCTCAGTTTAGCAGATGGAGGTGAGGCCCAGAGGAGAAGAAACATGCTTGAGGACACATGGCGTAAGTCTGCTAGAGTCGGGGCAGTCCTTCCCAGTCCCCAGGGTGGTGGGGAGCCCTTGCTGCATCTGGAGCAGGAGCTGGGACTGGGCGGACTTTCCTTTCTGATGAGTGTGCTTGTTGGCAGTCCTGGGAAGGCTGCAGTGAGGGAGCTGGGCGGGGAGGAAACTGCAGAATAAGAGTGAGGTGGGGCCCCAGGCAGTGGTGTAGGGCTGGTGGTGTGGGAGGGACAGATGGCCTAACCTGGTATTAGGTCAGGTGTCAGGGGTGTGGCTAGTCTATGCACGGCCAGAGGAGTGGCACAGATGACAGGAGCCCAGGAGGAGCCAAGGCTTTGGGGAAAGGCAGCGAGGGAAGTCTTGGCCACCGGGTCGAATGAGGAGCTGTCACGGGGCCTGGACGGTGAATGCAGCCTGCCCCACCCACTGTCCCCAGCCAGCCCAGCACTCACGGTCAGCGTAGGCTGGATTGTTGTAGAAGATGCAGCCAGTGGCCCGGTTGTAGCCACGTAGCACGATGAAGTGGCCCTGGTAGTCGGGGGTGCGGCAGAAGCAGCGGTGGCCACTGGGGGCGAAGCAGCAGTACTTGACGGGACTGGAACAGAGGTCGCAGTGCAGTACCCCAGAGTTCACCAGCACAATGGCCACGTGGCCCTGGGCCAGGTGCTCCTGGATGTCCTGCACACTCACTGTGCTGTGGGCAGGAGGAGGGTCAGCTGGTGCCACTGGGCCCCATTCCCCATCTCTCAAGTGGACCCCTGCCTGGATCACAAAGCTTGGGGCCGCGGCTCATCTGCCCTCCCTCCTGAGCTCTTTGCAGGTGGGAACATCCTGCTTTGTCACTGTGGCCTGGGCTCAGCCCAGGATTAAGCATGGGACCAGTGCCTGGGGGCAGAAGGGCTCTGAGTGTGCCCGAGGACAAGCTGGCCCTGTCAGGTCCTTCCAGGGGTGGCAGGAAGTTGGCTCCAGAGGGGCCCCTGTCACGGGCCACTGAAGCAGCACATGGGACCCCACCTCCCGGCCTGGCTGGTGAATTTTTCTTTTTTTTTTTTTTTTGCTGAGCACCTTCCTTGGTCATTTACCCTAAATCACATGCGGTTTACGCTGGAAGCTGTCAGTCCAATTTAATCCCCCAAATCTGAGCCAAGCATGGCTTCGTCAGTTTCAAAACCACATGCTTCTCTGAAAAGACTAGTTTTCTTTTTTTTCTCAAAGGCTCCCAAGGCAGAAGGGGTTGTCTGGGAAGGGGCGGGTCAGCAGTGCTTCCAGGGGATCCCTAGTTCTGCAGAGTCAGCTGTTCCCTAAGGCAGACTCTTACGCACGGCCCCATTCAATGCCCCCACAGAAAGCAGCAAACTAAGATTTCTTCAAACTAAGAATCCAGAACGGGCGAGGGGCTGTGAGGTAGTGGGCCCCTAAGCGAGGGGCCTCTTTCCTCCACAGTCTCGTCAGGAGCAACAGCATTCGCACACCGTGGCCTGGCCCAACTCCAGCCCACGGCCAAGTCATGTGGCAGTCTGGTTTGGTTGCCTCAGCCCAGGGAAACATGCCATTTTTCCACTTGGTCTTTGAAATGCTATAGCTGAGTTCCCAATGGTATGTACCAGCATGGGATTTCAACTACAGGGGAAAAGCAGGGGCTGGGCCGGAAGGAAAAGCACCATGCTCCATGGAATAACGGGGTGCGGAGTGCCAGGTTTGGATCACAGCATGGCCGAGCTGCCGGCGGTGACTTTGGGCCCCCTCACACTATTTTCCCATGGGACAGCACCAGCTCCCACTCAACAAGACAGCACGGGGCACGTGCCACTAAACGAACATTGGGTGCCTTTCCTCCCAACATGTGCTCGTGCGGTGGACGGATGCGTGGAGACTTTTCCTGTTTTCCTAACTACCTATCATGTGGTAACATGATGGGAACAGTGAAAACAGAAGTCATTCAAGAACAGGGAGACCTGAGCAGAGTGGTAGGGTAGCCCAGTGGGGATCTAAGCTAATGCACCTGAGCCTGGAGAAGAAAAGTCTAATATTAGCATTGGGGCAAGTTACTCCCAAGGATCTGCCCGAATCCTGCCCTCATGTATAGATGAGAATGGGGGAAACCCACATAAGGTCACAGCAGCCTGTGGGGAGATCTGAGGGCCACGCCTATACCCTCCATCACTTTGCCAGCATGTTCCTTAGGCTGTCACCCCTTCATTAAGGGTTCCTATGTTCTGTCTCAAGCTACCATTCTGTGAGCAGCCTGAGGGCTGGCTGGAGTCTGTCTTGCTCACCTGTCCCTCCAGGGCCGGCTTGCGATCCATCCTAGGCCACAGTTTTGTGTACAGCAGGTCATGTAGTCCCACTTGTCCCCATTTTATGGATAGAAACAGTAAGGCTCAGGAGGGCAAGTCCATGCCCTTGGCCACCTGGGTAGGACACCCCAGTTCTGCCTGACTGCCAAAGTTCTTAGCCAGCCTTTCCCGTACGCCATCCTGAGGTCCCTCCCTGACAGCAAGTATGTGGGTGAGCAGGCACACAAGCAAGAGTGAGGGGAGGCTCACCATTTCTCCACGAGCACCTTGCAGGCCTTGGCTTGTGCGAACAGCTGGTTCACCCGGGTCTCCTCTGTGTCAAAGTGCTTCCTGTAGAAGGACTGAAGACAGTAGGGCAGGTTGGAGGGGCTGCCTGTCCTGGCTGCCCTCGCCCCTTCTGGATGAAGTACAGAGCACATGATGGAGTCAAAGAGGGGAAGAGCCCAGTCTGCTAGGGGAGATGGCAAATGTAGCATGCCTGGGCAGAATGTTGTGTGTGTCTTGAACCAGCAGGGTGGCTGGCCGGAGTGCATGGGACTACACGGAGGCATGAGGAGGATGCTCAGGAGATGGGTAGGCAGCTGAGCTCAGCTCCCCCAGCAAGGCTAGTCATCCCTGGGCTTGTGTACCCTGTGGGCATGAGCAGGAGTCTGTGGTAAATGAGCAAAGGGGGTGGCTGAGCCCACTCAGATGCTCCTCCACTGTTTGGCTTAGCGAGGTGAGGTCCAGGGAACATACTTCGTTTGATGTAGGAGACTGAAGGGGGTTAGAGCCCCTGTGGGGGAAGCAGGAGAAACCCTGTTCTTGGGCTCTTTTCTCTGCCTTGCAGCTACAGTGATCAAGCCAGATCCATTAGCCCTCCTCCCCTGGCCTGGAAGGGTCAAAGGAAAGTTAGGTTGACTGGCCCTGGCCACCATGTGACAACCCTCTTGCCAACGAGGCCAGCAGACACTCTACTCTGCCAAGTTTTGGAGCCTGGGCCAACATGTGCCTCTGTAGCAGGCAAGACCGGCTGTAACTACATGGGTCGGTGGCGGGGTGGGGGTGTGCACTAGTATAATGATGAGGCTATCTTTTTCTTTTTCAAAAAGAAAAAAAAAAATAGGAAAGATGGTATTTCAGTTTCTCTTCCAGAATACCAATTATCCAGCTTGGAGCCATCTGTCCCTGTGACAAGGAAGAAAATGGGCAAGTGGTGGCAGGGTAAGGTCAGAGTGACATGCTCTGAGGCCCTGGGCCCTGAGCGACAGGAGGGAAGGATGCAGGAAGGCAGCCTGAGATGCTCTTCTGCACATCAAGTGCTCTTGAAGGTAGGCAAGAGGAGTCTCACTGCTCAGAGGCTTTGAGCAGGCTGGACCCCAAGGTCACCTAGTCTGGCTAGATCGAAATCCTACCCATAGAGTCTGGTCTCTGCACACCTGTGTGTCCACTCGGGTGTCCAGGCCTTGACCATACCCCCTTTCAATTACCAGACCTAGGTGAAGTCCTGGTGGCTGGCTGCCCACCTGGTTCTTGTAGCCCTTGTCGACACCCAGGGTCTGAGTGCAGAAGCGGTGCCTCACGCCAAAGTGGCGCATCAGGTAGGCCAGGTCAATGGTCCAGATGCTCCTGGTTAGCCGCAGCTCCTGCAGGGCACTCTCAAACTCACTGTCGTCCAGCGGGCCCAGGTACCTGTGGGCAGATGGGCTGCTGAGGTTGGCTTGCTTACGTGGGGAAGCTGGCTGGGGCCACCCTCCTCCCAGGGGCCCACCAGCCACTATCAGGGCTCCCACTCCCCAAAGGTTCCAGCCTTTGTCATGAAATCCTGTATCTTGCCTACTTCTTGGGCACGACCTGAGGCTGCCTGGGGTACCATGTTGGCCCCAGAGTCAAGGATTCTGCTTCTTGAATCTCTTGAAGGTTATGTAACTTTGGGTAAGTTGCCAACCTCTCAGGCCTCACCAGCTTCATCTCTAGGATGAGATGCTTGGACCACATCAGTGGTTTTCTAAGTTTTAGGCACAGAACCCTTTTGTTGAACACGATCTTGCCTGGAATTCCAGGATATAAAACAGGTAAGGGACAGGTTGCTCTGGGGTTCCTGGCAGCTACCTGAAAAGTCTCCTACAAGGAGATGACTATGGTGCTCTGTGGTCTGACGGTCAAGGTTCCTGTGATATTCACACAGCCTTAGTTCAACAGTTGGCTCCCTAGTGACACAGTCTTGCAGGAGCCTGAAGTTGGAACGTCCCGTGTCCCAGTGATGGGGTCACTCTGTGGACCAGGCCCAGGTACCTGGGACTTCCCTGGCTATCCCCAGAGCCGCTACCTAGAAGGCCTCGTCCACCCTTTGCTTGCTTTTGCAGATGGGACCAAGCCTGGATGGAAGCTGGGCCTCCTGTAAGCCCCACCCAAGAAAAGCCATATGGATGATGAATCCCACCCAGGTCTCTCCCTGTTTCTCCTTCCAGCCAGAGCAGATGGTGTGGATGGGGAGAGCCTGGGCCTGCCCACTCACCGCAGCACCATCTTGGAGCAGGCCAGGCCACAGTCCCAGTGGTAGAGCTGCTGGATAATGGGCACAGGCAGCTGCACAAAGTCTCCTGCGTGGAAACACAGGGAGGTCACAGACTCTTGACATTATGCCTGTCACTGCCACCCCCACTGAGGCCACTGTCATTGGCTCTGCCCAGATCCTGTAGGGGCTGTTCAGGGGCTGGAAACAGCCTTTCAGGTGCCCCAACCTATTCTCCTTACAATAGCAGTAATCTCCCCCAAACACCAGTCAGAGTAGGTCAGCCCTATACAAAATCCTCCAATGGGTTGGTTCCTTTATCTCTTAAGACAATGCCTTCATGGCTGCTGCCCCAGCACCCTCTGCCCTCTCACCTCCCCTCGTCCTCACTGGGCCGACCTCTAGGCAGAACCTTCACCTGCTGTGATCCCTTATGCCTCAGGGCCTTTGCACACCTCTTCCCCCTGCCTGAACTCTCCTGGCCTCCCAGGTGCCTGACCTAACTCCTGCCTTTGGATGTCACTTCTCCATCATGCCTAGCCCCCAACTACATGCACTCCCAGCCTTACAGGCCTCTCTTTCAGAACACTCTTTTTGGTGGGACCTCCAAGGAGGCTAGCACACAGGGCAGACACATGGGAGATGCTCAGCAGATATTCATGCCTGAATTCATGAGGCCCCTGGAGGTTTGCCCGACTCCAAAGCCCCCAGGGCCACCAAAATATGAAGTCCACAGTTAGACGGAAGGGAGACTGTCATGTAATCTGTGTATATGCAATGCTACCCTAGGTGGTCTCTCAGTCTGTTCTTGCCAAACGGTGTGGAGGAGTAGAAAGGGCCCAACCTCGGCATTTTAGCTCCAGCTCTGTCACAGCCTGGCTGTGGGCTGAGCAACCAACTTCCTCTTGCTGGACTGAGTCTGGCTATCTCTAAAGTGGGGGACTTTGGTCTGATTCAGTCATTCAATCAACAAATATTTCCCAAGAGCCTAGTACCTGGCATGTGAACCAGAGATGTGGTGGTGAGTGACACAAACAGATTCCTGTCCTGGAAGGGTAAGAGAAAAACAGAGGGCTAGGCTGGGGAAATGGTGGGGGTGTGCCTTAGAGAGTGAGAGTCAGGGAACACAAGACAGAGGGGAACAGCACGCTAAGGGAGGACCAGCTGGAATGTGGCCTACTGGAACCTCCTACTCTGGGATCCCATCAATCTGGACAAAGTTCAGAGTCTGAAGAAATGGGAGGGACTTCCCTTCAGCAATCATCACCCACTGCTCATTCATGACACTCCTTCAGCATGTGAAAACCCAGCCCACGTTGTTTGCTCACCCCGGGGTGTCTCTGGGGTCTCTCTTGAACCCACAACTTGCCTGTGCAGAGTGCCCCAGAAGCCGACTTGCCATGCCAGCCCTGGCTCCCACTGCAGGGAGCAACCAGAAGGGTCCTGATGTCTGTTCTGGCCTTTCAACCTGCTGGCCTTGTCTGGGCAGTGTCTTGCCTGGAGTGAGTCCCAAGCTCCTACTCTCCTATGTCTAAACCCTCCCCAGCCTTCAAGGCCTGGCTCAGATGCTACCACTTCTGGTGCCTTCTCTGATCCTAGGCTGGCCACACCCTTTCCGTCATCTGCACTCTGCTAGGCCAGAGTTCATGCTTTGGTTCATAGGAGAGGACCCTTGCATTGAGTTTGTCTGTGTCCTGCTGAGCTGTTGCACATTCTCAGGATGCAGGGACCTGTGACTGCTCCTTCACTGCCTTGTACTGGCCTTCCTCCTCCATTCCCCACCTCCAAGGGCATGAAACAGAGCCTATGGATGGCAGGATGGCATGGGTGAGTATAGACCACCTGCTGGCTGAGTCACTTGAGGAGAGGCACTTGGCCTCTCTGTGCCTGCTTCTTCCTTTATGAAATGGACCGCCACAGATGCCAGCCTGCAGAGTGCTATAAGCACCCAGGGCAAGAGTGTGTTGCAGGTGCTGACATGAACCCTGCGCTCCATCTAGAGGGCCCTGGCGCCCTGAGCCCAACTGGGCTGAGGCTTTGTTCCCTCCTTACCCTGACCCCAGATGCCTCTAAAAGGAACCCAGGCCATCATTCGAGGCCTTCCCACATTTGCCTCTTCCCACTGTCTTGGATTCAGTTCTGAGGGCTCTGTCCAGCCTGACTTCTGCTTAGCCTCTGTCCTAAATTCCACCCCCAGCTCCTCTCCCATCTGTACATAGTAGCCAGAGGGATCCCAGTCCCAGTCTCCCATTGCTCTTGGAATAAAGTTGTCACTCCACACCATGGCCTGCAGGGCCCTGCCCACCCCAGGCCCCACCACCCTCACCTTGGCCCTTACACCTCACTCACTCAGTTCCAGTTACTGCGGGAAACCCATCAGGCTTCACTGTACAGCTGCATGTACAGCCGCCTCTGTCTGGAACTTTTTTCCCTTGCAGATCTCAAGGCTGCCCCTTTTTGTCATTCAGGTCCCAGGCCAAATGTTCCTCCTCTGAGAGGCTATTTTCTGACTATGCCATTGTGGGGAGAGGGTCCCCCCTTCCCAGCATCCTGTTTGTTTCCTTCACAAAGTACTTGGCAAAATTAATGAGAAAAAGAAAAAATAAAATAGAGCTACTCTGTCTCCCCACAAGACTGTAAGCTTCCTGAAGACAGAATTTGCTAATTTTGTTCACTGTTCTTCCCAATGCCTAGTATCTGATGCTTAGCAGTAACTCAACAAACATTTGTTAGAAGAAATGAACCTTTTTTTTTTTTTTAAGAAATAAAATTATTAAGCACTCAGTGTGTGCTATGGTTTGGGGACACTAAAGATGACTAAGTCCCAAGTCTTGCCCTCCACATTCATATTCTAAAATAATTCCCCCCGATGGGCTGAGTGGAGAGAGAGCTCTATGCAAGGTACTATTCTCTCATGATGGAATGCCTCCCTTTTCAAGAATCCTTCACTGTGGCCATAAACTGTCTTTCTGTTTCTCTCTACACAGGCTATTTACTCCCCAGTCTTTGCTCTTGCAGATCCCTTAGTCTGGAATGTTGTCTCCCATCTCTGAACAGCCAAATGCTCTGGTCTCTTTCCCTCTCTGAGCCCTTCAATATGAGTATTTGAGGGGATCGTGTCTGCCTTCCCCACTGGACAGACAGAATATCTCAGTGGCAGGCAGGGACAGGGCTGCGTGTGCCTCGCCCCAGCCCTTGGACCAGAGCAGGCACTCAGACATGCTTGATGAATGGAAGGTGTTTTTCCAAAAAGGCCTTATCCCTTGAGATGCCCAGGCCTACTTGTCACAACAATGCCCCAACCCCTCCCCCAATTTCCCCCACCCCGGCTTCCAGACTACAGCTCCTCTGTTCACGGCTCCCTCCTTACTCTGCAGCCTGGGCTCTGGCACCAGCTAGCTGGGTCATCTTAATGGCCAGGCTTTGCCTCTGTCTGTGCCTTTCCCTATTTCCAGGTGTAAATGTGGCACAGGACAGCAGCTCCCTAGGGTCTTTGTGAACTCCACTGCCCCTCCTCTTCTTGCCCTGATCCTAGAACCCCTTGATCTCCAGGCCCTACAAGGCTAAATACTCCCACATGGCCATCCCCAGTCTTGGCATGGGCAGGTCAGCTCACAGGGATCCAGAGATACTCCTGTGGGGGGCTGATAAGGGGAGGGAGGGCCTTCCAAGCCCAGAACTACTGCCAGATGTTGATGCCTGGAGCCAAGGGACTGTCCCACCTAAAAGTAGGGTCTGCCTGTAAGGCCCTGGCCTGGCTTCAGTTGGCAGCTGTTGTCCAAGAAGGCAAGCCCTGTATACTTAACTCCTTTCAACTCTATCTGCTCATGTGCAAAAGTGCAGGTAACAATGGTAACCTACTTTACAAAAGGGTCCTTATGAGGATTAATGAGGCATTGCATGTAAACAACTTAGCACAGTGTCCACTCATGGAAAGCTCCCTATGACTGTGAGCCATTACTTCACTGGGACTCAGGAAAGGCAAATGTCTGGTCCAAGATCACAGAGTTAGGTAACTGGAAGAGTAGGGATGCAAATGCCAGGATAGCATCAGACCCTATGCCCTGCTGCATTCACAAAAGAGACCACTCCCTGGGTGTCACACCAAGGTCCCTGATGTCTTAGGGTGGGGTCCCACATGCTCTTGACCTCTCCCATGAGTTGGCACCTCACTTTAGAGTTTACCAGCACTTTCTCTTTCTCATCAACCCCGAGAGCAGGAATCATTCCTTTCCCCCTCCCCCACGCAGAGAGGCAAACTGAGGCCCACAGGCACTGAATGTCAGTCTCGGTTTCTGCCCCAAAAGAACTCAGGCCACCTGGGGGCAGAAGGAACCCGAGGGTCAAGAACTACAGCAAGACAAACCGCTAAGTCTGGGAGGCCGGGGTAAGGGGCACATCCATTGCTCTATGCTCTCAGCCAGTTCCCTGCCCTTCTAGGCCTCAGTTCCCCCACAGTTCCCCGGAGGGGACGCGGGATTTCCTAAGGCGCTCCAGCAGGACTTTTCGCTTCTGGGGAAGGTGCCGCCCTTGCACCGCAACCAGGACCCTCCCACCATGACCGCTTTCAAGAGCTGACTGGAGTCCCAGCCCTTGGAGTATCAGGAAATCCCAAGGGACCCGGGCTGGGGGTTGAGCGGGCAAGGCGGGAGTGTACACCTGGCCAGGTACGCTCAAAGCTCTACAGCCCGGCCCGTGGCGGCGGTGGACCCAAGGTCACGCGGCTGGACCCTGCCCGCGCTAGGGCGGGGTCCCCCTCGTTGCCCCCGGCAAAGGCCGGGCCCTCGGGGAGACACTGACCCGGCTCGAGCGGCGGCCCCGCTGCCTCCGCCTCCGTCCTCATGACCCGGGCCGCGCGGGGCGCCCATGGCCCCGGCCCCGTGCCGGCTGCAGCTTCGGCTTCGACTGGGGCGGGAGCGGGGCTGGTGCGTGTCAGGTTCCTCCTCTGCCGCCGCCGCCGCCACCGCCACCGCGGTGGGGAGAAGGGGAGGCGGCGGCAGGGCCGCCCCAAGCCCCGCCCCGCCCCTTCCAGCCTTCGGCTCGGGGCCCCGCCCCTTCTTTAAACCCCACCCCTTCGCTGGGGCTCAAAGAAGCCCCTCCCTTTCTTTTCCCCTGACTTCTATTCCTAGAGGCCCCCAGCCTCCGGATCTAAACGGGTCCTGGCCATTGGCAGTCCCGGCTTCTGGTAGCCCCGCCCCTCCCCCCCCCCACTCCTCGCGCAGACACGCAAGCCCTTTCACGCCTCCGTTCCCCGGAAGCTCCGCCTCTTTGCCTGAGAGCGGCCCCCCAGCCCTGCCCTTCCACTGGCACTAGTTCCCTGGAGACTTTTCACCTTAGCGAACTCCGTCTCTGCCTGGCGCACTTCTCTGCTAGCCTCAGGCCCAAGGCCAGGTCCTATCCGTACCCCGCGGGGCTTCAGGAGACCTAACACTACTTCGACTTCCTTGAGGGACGGCCGTGGGCCGGCTCCCGCTCTACTCTTAAACCTGTTTCTCTATCCATACGGTGAGATACCTCGCCTTGCTGAGGGCGCCCCTTACCTGGTGGTGCCTGGTTCCAAAGGTTAAATTGTGAGAGTAGGTCCTGGCCCTCAGCCCCCGATGCGAGGGCCCAAGCCCCAGATCCCCCACCTTGCTGTCCAGCCTGTCCCCGGTGTTAGGTGCTTGGAAACGCGAGCCCCTCCCCCCACCCCCTTGACGGCCTATGGATCAGTGTTTCCGGCGGCACCTGGGCCCTGTCATCAGCTCTCTCTTCCGGGGCCGGAACTATCGTAGCCGAGTCCACGTTTCCCGACCGGCCGAGTGAGAAGGAAGCAAAAGCAAGACCGCGCTCACCACTAAGAAAAGGAAGGGGCCGGGCCTTACGCGCAGCATTTTGGGAACGCGTGGTATTCTGGGAGCGCGAGACCCGCCATTCGCTTGGCTCACGCCTTCGCAGTCACTAGAGTAGCCGCGGCACCGGAAAGGAAGAGTAGGCCGGAGCCGGTGAGGTGAGGCCGGGGGCAGGCGAGGGTAGACCCGAAGCACCCGTGAGGGGCCTGGGGCTGGAGAAGGACGCGCTGCCGAGGAACTCTGGGAGGTTCGGGGAGGGAGAAGAGCGGGAAGCCCGGGTCAAACATCAGCGTTGCCTCACTAGTGCCTGAAAGTGAGTTCTCATTAGCTTTTCCTCAAAGTACATGCTCTTCGTTTACTGTACCTCTCCAGGCCATGTTTTTCCGAACATACAGGCAGTAGTCTTGAAATATTTCTGGTTGCCTTCTTCCCCCAAGTCCGCTCTGGGCAATCCTTTTCCAAAGTTGTTTGCATCTTTGCTCCCATCCCCCTTTCAGGCACTGGTCCTCTCGTGCTTTCCATTTTGTTACAGAAGCTTTATCAAGTTCCTTGCTTCTAAACTGTTTGAAAAAAAAATAAACTGTGTTTGATCCATTTGTAAATGCTGCTGCCTTTTTATTGGATCATTCCTTACCCATAATCCTGCAGTAGTTCCCCACTGTCTTCAGCATAAAAGCCAAACTCCTAAGCTTACTTCCTCACCGAGGGAATCTGTCCTTCCCAATGTCATGTTTCTTTTCCAATCTTGAACACAAATGATGTGTCCCAACCTTCATTTGTTGCTCATCTGGGAATATGAAATCTACTGCTTGTTTCTTTTATTTACATGAGATCAGGTGATTTCCCTGATGATGTTTTTCTCCAAACATTTCCTGCTTATAGCACGTTGTCCCTTTGTGAACACTTTATTTTCTCTTTAACCTTGAAGAAGTGGAGGGTCAGTGGGTACTTAATGAGTCGAATTAAATGCACAGCCTCTTCTAGATTTGCCTGGATCTTTTGGTCTATATCTGTATTGCCCAGTACTTTAGCCACTAGCCGAAGGCCATTGATCTCTTGAAATGTGGCTAATGTGATTTATTTCACTTTAAGTTTAGTTTAAGTAGCTACGTGTGGACTGTGGCTACTGTGTTGGACAGCTCAGGTCTATATCATGGGTTCTCAAAGTGGTGTCATCCACAACTATGGGTTGGCATGTACATCGTGTGGCGTGTACATTTCAATCCCCTGTCCCCAACACACACAATATTGGTTACTGGTTATTTGATGAAGATAAAGAGGCATATGGTAGCAGGGAGGGAGATGGAAGGAACTTTTTTCTCATCCCATTAACTTTCCCTCTCTCTAGCTCCCCCCATTCTTCACCATCCCACATCTTGCATGTATTTGCCCCAGATGAGTTCCTCAAACTAGGAGTTAAGCTTTTTTTTCCCCCTGTGGAAAATGGCAGCTTTGGCATTCTTACTAAATTCTATGGAGTGTCAGGCCTTAAGGGAGTTATGATATGTGCCACATGACTTCCTAGGCCCTAAAGGATGAACTAACTGTTGTCTCTCTCACTGTAGAGCTTTTTTCCTGCCAAGATGTCTATTGGTGTGCCGATTAAAGTCCTACACGAGGCTGAGGGTCACATCGTGACATGTGAGACAAACACTGGTGAGGTGTATCGTGGGAAGCTAATTGAGGCGGAGGACAACATGAACTGCCAGGTATCCTGCTTTCACATGAGGTTATGGGGGAAGCTTGGGCCTCTGTCTTGGAGCACAGAAAGATAGTGATTGGAGGTCTTTTTGAAGTTCTCCTCCTTGAACAGTTATTTATGGAGTGCCTGATGTGTGCCATGCGCTGTTATAGTTGCTGCTGATATGGACATAAATAAGGGCTGTTTAGAAGTTTGTTTTCTCCATCCTGTGATCATCTTCTATATTTTGGAGACTTGTTTAAAAGAAGTGGCACTATTCCCTTCAGTAGAATCTGTCAGGTTCAGGGCCATTCTTCATTTGCCCCTACATGTTTGTGTAACTGCTTTGCCCACTTTCCCTAAGAGTGGAATCTTCCACTCACATACCGTGTTTATTTTCCATCTTTCTTGGAAGAGGAGTCTCATTTGATTATAGCAACTACCTTATGAGATAGGCAGGTTCGGTGATCGTTTTGTCATCCATAAAATAGGGAGAATAAGATTAAAAGACTTCATCTACTGAATGTCCTTCCGCTAACAAATACTGGAACAGCTTCCTCATACTGTGCCCTTCCCATGGCACTCTTTTGCATTTTGCTAATAATCACATGAGTTTGTATAGCATTGCTTTGGCAAGGTGTATCAGCACACTTTCTCCTTTGTTCTTTAAATCGTCAGTTAAGAACTTGGGCTTCAGAATCAGAGATGTGGGTTTGGATCCTAATTACCTGACCTTGATCATGTTAATCGCTTCAGTTTCCTTGTCTCTAAGATAGGAATGGTATTATTTTATGTCCTCTGAGACATAGTTGCCAAGGCAGAATTGTGCAAGAGATTTATTGGGGGAAATAATAATGAAGGATAAAGGAGAGGGAGTAGGAGTAGCCAGGAGAGCTTTCAATCTATTACTGGTCTGGTGCTGGGGAAAGGAGAGGGAAAAGACAAGATTGAGTGGGAAGGGCCTTATACCGCAGTGTATCTCTGAGGAAGTCTCAGCCAGCAGGAGTTGCTCATTAGAAGAGTCTAGCATGGGGCAGAAATGGCCTGGCTCTAGGATCCCCACTGTGATCACTCATTGGCTGGCAGCCTAGGGAGACAGTGGCTTCAGGGTGAATGCTGTGATGGATCCCATAAGTGGCAGCTGGAGACTCTCAGCTCCATGCATGCCTCATAGCCTGACAACCCTTGCCGGGAGATCTGAGCAGTGCATTCTGAAGACCGCCATAGGGATAACACCCACACCCCGGGATTGTTCTACAGATCAGATTAGTTATGTATGTGGAGCAGCTAGTTTCATGCACATTATACATGTCCACATGTAGTTTCTGTTAATGTTTTCTAGGTGAGAAAACCGAAGGTCAGAAAGGGAAGGTGACTTCCCTAAGATCACACTGCAGATCAGGTGTCCTATCTGTTGCTTTGCAGGGTTCACATATTTATTTGTGATAGCTCTATAGCTTCGAGCATCATCTTCCTGCCAGGTTGACCAGTGGGGCCAGTTCCCTCGTTCAGGGAGATAGACATCTAGTGACTGTGCAGGTTTCTCTCTTCAGTGTTGATGCCATACAGGTAGATGGTGTGGGGTTTCTAAAGGTCCTGTGGGGCTTTGCATACCTTGTCTTTGTGAGGCATCCCTGTCATAGATCCAGTCCTCTGGTTTAAGGCATCCTTATCCATTTTAAGGTGCTTTGTTTTGGTGAGTAGAATGCAAGACTGGGGATAAGGCACCTTAATGTGTTTGTTCAGCTATTTATTTGGACAACTTACTGAGTTTTCAGGGCCTCAAACTGCCCATTTGTAATGCCTGACCAGATGACCTTGGTGGTCTCTCAAATGTAGCCAGTGTGATATAAAGCACACAGCCTGGTGATAGATCTGGAATCAGGTTGCAGCCCACTACCTTGTGTGACTTGGGTCCAGCTTTGGACCTCCGTCACCCTCTGTTCCCTCCTTTTTTTTTTTTTTTTTTAAAGATTTTATTTATTTGACAGAGACACAGCAAGAGAGGGAACACAAGCAGGGGGAGTGGGAGAGGGAAAAGCAGGCTTCCCGCCGAGCAGGGAGCCCAATGTGGAGCTCGATCCCAGGACCCTGGGATCATGACCTGAGCCGAAGGCAGACGCTTAACGACTGAGCCACCCAGGCGCCCCTGTTCCCTCCTTTCTAAGTCAGGAATAAACATAACATCTCAGCCTCAGTATTATAGTGCAGAATAAATGAGTGAATGCATGTCAAGTGGGGGGAGCCAGTCACTTGCTTCCCGCTTATGTTAATCTGCTAGGGCTGTCATAACAAAGTTTCACACTGGGTGGCTTAAACAAGCATATTTATTCCCTCAGGGTTCTGGAGGCAAGAGGTTTGAGATCAAGGTGTCACAGGGTTAGTTCTGAGGGCCATGAAGGAAGGATCTGTTCCAGGCTCTCTCTTTGGCTTGTAGATGGCTCTCTCCTTCCTGTATCTTCACATGGTTTTCCTTCTGTGTGGATCTGTATCCCGATCTCTCATAAGGACTCAAGTCACATTGAATTAGGGTTCAGTTACCTCTGTAAGGATCCAGACTCTAAATATGGTCACATTCTGAGATACTGGGGGGTTAAGACTTCAACAGAAGAATTGGAGGCAGTTAGGATTCAGCCTCTAACACTGCCCATGCCCAGATGCTGAGACTTTGCTGGGTTTACCTAAGTCTGGTTCACTGAATAAAAACCAGCAGGCTAAGGCAGAGCTGAATATATTGCGGTAAGCCCAGCACGGTTCATTCACACATCCCCAGGATGCGTAAAGCCAATGGCTCCTGCAGTTCCCACTGCTTTCCTTCCTTCCTGGCCCCAGTTAGTCTGCCCTTTGGGGGTGAGAGCATCCCCTTAGCACTTTCTAGCCTTTGCTAGAGGACAGCTGGAGTTTAGTGTTTGCCATTTGATGCTGGGTTTTAATAACTTCTGTTTTTTCTAAAGATCTATTTATTTATTTTAGAGAGCGCGAGTGTGGGAAAGAGTGGGGGGAGGGGCAGAGAGAGAGAATCCTGAAGCAGACTCCCAACTGAGTGTGGAGCCCAACACAGGGATCGATCTCACGACCTGGAGATCATGATCTGAGCTGAAATCAAGAGTCAGCTGTCCAACCGACTGAGCCACACAGGCGCCCCTAACATTTTTTATTAGAAAAGTGTGGTGGGTCACACACTACAAAGATTTGGAAAACAGATAAGAGCATCTCACCACAACCACAATTGCATGGACTTTTTTTCCCCCCTAGGAAGGTGTCTTGGGTTTCTAGTATTTATTTTTTACTCTGTCTACTTTCAAAAAGTGTTAGAGGTAGGGGGCGCGTGGGTGGCTCAGTTGGTTAAGCGTCTGCCTTTGGCACAGGTTGTGATCTCAGGGTCCTGGGATCGAGCCCTGCATCAGGCTCCCTGCTCAGTGGGGAGTCTGCTTCTCCCTCTGCCCCCCCCCCGCCCACTTGTGTTCTCTGCCTCTCTCTCAAATAAATCTGTATAAAAAAAAAAGTGGTTTATAAAAAATTATATGATAAGGTAAAAATGGACAGATAGGTCACGATGCAGGTAACTTGGGGTAGACCGTAAAGTGAAGCCAGGCAGGCAGTTAGTACCCAGAAATATAAATCTGAATCCCTATACATTTAATAAAGGGATATTCTATTCTAAGCTACTTAGAGGCCCGGCAGAGGGAAATCAGTTCTAAGGTGCGTAGTGTCCTTAAGATAAAATACCAGTTGTGTGGTTTTCCCTGGCAGTCAGATGTGGGAGACATTTTTCCCCTTGGCCCTGATAAAAGAGATATAGTTTTATACTATTAGATAATGTCATCACCAACATCCCCATACAAAACACACCTTTTTGGGTTCCTCAGATATTTTTAACGTAGCCTGTTACCACAGCCCTTTTTTGACAATGCAAATGTAATCTTTGCAAGCATTAATCCTAGGATGAGGTCCTTGAGATGGGCTCATAGGGTCAGAGGATGTAGATACTTCTTTGCATCTGAGCTTTGGCTGGCAAGGCAGGGAGTCTTGTCCTCCTGCTCTGTACTCCACAGCTGCAAGGCAAGCATAATCTGCTAGCCCGTGCTGCAGGATGTGGCATCATCCATAGGTGACAGCCCTGCAAGTGCCGCTGCGAGCATCTCCTGAGGGCCCCGTGTGCATTGGGGTGGGCAAGGCCTCTGTGGCTCTCCATGTGGCTTTCTTGAGCTGGTTTTTGTCTATAGCAGAGATGGGACCTGATAGAGGAGTGTATCACATCTCTTGCCCAGCCTGGATATGGATGATCTAAAGCCAGGGGTCCCCAAATGGGGAAGTTTCTGTTCTTGGTTTTGTGTACTTAACATGGTTTTGAAGCATCCTGTTTTTATTAAATGTCAACGAGGGAATGAAGGGATTTTTCTTCAAAATGAAAAGTATATATATTTCTTAAGAATACTAGTCAAATATTTGGTAAAATATTAAAAACCAAAAAGGAGCTTTAAGGTGAGGAATTATGAGTAGCAATAAGCACATTATTTTTATTTTATAGACTAGCCTATATTTATGTAACCTTTTGGGGGCAACTTTTATGACTATGGATTTTATTAGGTATCCAGTGTGAAGAGTCCCTGGAGGTTCTTTGTAGAGTCTTGGTGAATGCTAGAAGTGTTCTCCGGGCTCGGCAGTATTCAGACATTTAGGACATCTCATAATTTTTTTATGATGAAAGTTTATTATATTTAAACATATAAATAAAAGGGCACCTGGGTGGCTCAGTTGGTTAAGCAACTGCCTTCGGCTCAGGTCATGATCCCAGAGTCCCAGGATCGAGTCCCGCATCAGGCCTCCTGCTTAGCAGGGAGTCTACTTCTCCCTCTGACCCTACCCCCTCTTGTGCTCTCTCACTCTCTCTCAAATAAAATAAAAACCTTTTAAAAAATAAAATAAAAAATAAACATATAAATAAAAATTAAAAATAAACATATAAATGGTTTTTGCAAGTCAAAAATGTTAATTTCCCAATTAAAAGTGGACCCAAGTCATAAA